GAACATATATTTCTGATATCACTGAACCTCGTGAACAACTGCATTTGTGAAAGGCATTTTCAACCGGTCTTTGATGCTTGGAGTGCGATTTATACCCACCACCTCATGAATCTCCTGTTGCACTTTAGCTGTGAGTAGAAGAGAGTGAGATGAGATTGGCATACTTTGTCTGGCTGAGCACCTGCAGTCATTTGAATAGAAATATATGTTCCAAAGCACATTGAGGGAAAACGGTAGCCAGGACAATAGCTTCTCCTCAAAGTCATTTCTCAGTAGATACCATTTCAACTTTTCTAGTGCAAGATGAGATTCATATTATTTGAATCTCTCTGTTGTGGTTCTCTGGTAGCCTGCGGAGCTGGCAGCAGAGTTGGACAGTGAGGAAGTATAAGAGGAACATGGGCAAGTCTTGGAGACTGAGGAAAGCTCAGATGAGGGCTCCTCATTGGAGGCAGGGAAGGGGGCCAGGACCATCTGGTAGTTACGAGCTGCCTCCGGAGCCTGACATCAGCGAGTCAGAAGACCACTGTGAGTCGTATAATCGGTTCAAGCTCTGAGAAGTCCTGTTTGACTCTGTGATATGTTTGATGTTGCAAAACTAATTGGCAATTAGATCTCTGGCAGTGTTTCAAAGGAGATAAAGGTGGGTGCTTATCAATTTATCCTGAAAGTCTGTGCCTTACTAGATATCTTGAGAGGAAGTAAGCATAAAGCATTTCTGTGTGAGTTTTCTGAAGTTTAGAGTCTTCACCGAAAAAGAGGATAAATAGTAGTCAGGAAAAAAGATACAGTTCTTAAATTAATTTCCTAAACTGTTAATATATATACATTAACATTTACACCAGCAGCAAACATGCATTCCTACAAAAACCATGAGCCCATTTTCAAAAAGCTAGTGGTTTAATCTATAATTAATCAAGCAATTTTGGGTGGTATCATGAATTAACATTAATTATATTCTGTAACAATATTTATTATTTTTCATCTATGTCATAATTATACATTCCTGTGGAAAAGAATGTTACCATTGTCTGAAACAGTGTATTTCAAAATGTTGGAGATGATGACCTTGAGTTAAAAGGAATGTTCATTTATATTATTGCAAAAATGATCCTCAAGAAAACCTATACTAATTTCAGTCATGCATACTAAGATTTCATACAGTAAGTATTAAATTATTGCAATTGGTTGAATGGTCTATGGCAGTATGGCAGAAGTGGTATTCAGCCAGTTCTCTCCGGTTTGGGGGAACCGGTAGCGGCAGGAGCAGGAGGCTCTGCCCACCCACCCCAATGTAATATGCAAAAATTGCACATGTGCAGTGCGTATGCGCACATGGGGCACATGCACTCACATTTGTGAGGGAAGGTAAGTGAATCCCACTGCTGCTGTATGGACGGAAAATTTTTGTTACAGCATTCACTCACTTGTCCCAAAGATGCTTTTTTCAGGAGGCAATTGGACTGTCTTGCTTTTTCTGTGAAGACATTTTTCTTCTCATCCAAGTAGCTTCTTCAGCTCTGACTGAATGGTGGGTAATGGAAGAATTTATGTTCCTTGCAGACAGCTAGTTATTTGCATCCTTTTAGAGAGTCATTGAGCTACTTGGAGNGGTCGCTGAACTGATAGAGACTACAGGCTGGCCATGCCCCCAAACTGGTTTGGATACTTGCTCTGCCTCACCTTCGCCATGTGCATTCACAGAACTGCCTCCTCCTGCCTACACGCAGGTAAGCACTTACAGTAGCTACCTCCCCCTCCCCACTGGCCAGTGTCTCCCGAAGCCACAGTGGTGATGGGGACAGGGCAGCCCAGCAAGCTTCACAGCCATGTGATTATGAAGCTTGCCGGGCTGGGTGGCCCCTTCCCCATCAGGACAAAGCCACCGCCATTGCAGCTCCTGGAGAGCCACACTCATATTGGCAATCTGGAGGGTAGGGGAAGCAGACCACTACCTCCTAGCTCAGGAGCCAACTGGTGGCAACGCAGGCAGGGCCATTGCAATGGTGGAGTCTGGCGTTCGGGTGTCTGTGGTGTCTCTGTCCACTGGCTCCAGACAGAAGGCTCAGCTGCAGCTCAGATGAGCTGAGGAACTGTGGGGAGCATCCCATGTGTTGCACTTGACTCCCACAATTTGCCCATGCCTCCATGCCGTTTTCAGGCACGCAGCTTGGCGGGCTCCCCCCCCCCCTTTGGCTGTAATGGCAGCAGATTTAGGGGATTGCATGTCCAGCAGGAAGAGTTGCCAGACTCTGGTAAGATGTGCATATCAGGTGTGACAGTCGCAGGGCAGGGCCACTAAAGAAGGAGAAACAGGGGCAACTGGCCAAGGGAGGGTGGGGGGGGGTAGATGGGTAGAAAGTTCCCAAAAAATCTTATCTTTCCCTGTGGGCGTGGCTTGGTAGTGGTGGGTCATGTGACTACGTGGGTGTGAGCGTGAGTGACATCAAGTTGACCACACCCACTCAGTAACATGTCCCCCACCTAGCCACACCCACTGAACCAGTAGCAAAATTTTTGAAACCCACCACTGATAGGGACAGGTCTTTAGACCAGTCGTGGACAGATTTCTATATTGGATGCAATTTTCAGTAAGCAGAGAAAAATAGGAGTTGCTTCGGTTCAGGTATTTTTGTATAGTAGAGATTTTGTTCACAAAAAATAAGTATTTTGTATATCTTCTCAAAGGATCAATGTAGAGGTCAAATTATTGTTATTGTTTGTTGTGGTTGTTATTTTGCATGTAAGCAACAATTTGAGCAGACTTGAGAAGTGACCAGTTGAAAGGAAATTATGAAAAACATTTTCTTCTTATTTCAAGAAACATGACCAAATCTACATATTTACAAGAGATTTCAAGTGAATCTTTTACAACTATCAATATTATTAATGGTATTCAGACAATTTGTACAGAAAGTTAAAGAAAAACAATAATTAATAAGAAATGAAGGAGGATCAACCTTTATTTTGGAACATTTGCTTATGAGTAGGCATTTCAGTTCTCCCACCAAATTCTTCTGAATGATCTACCAAAGCATCTTTTACCANATTCTTCTAACTAAACTAAATCAGCTAGCAGTACCTGAACACACTTGTAAGTGGATCACAAGCTTCCTAACAGATAGGAAGCAGCAGGTGAAGCTGGGCAAAATCACATCAGATACCTGTACACTTAGCAGAGGAGTCCCCCAGGGCTGTGTGCTCCCTCTCCACTTCTCTTCTCTCATCAATGGCTTCATCTCAAATGATCCATCTGTTAAACTACTGAAGTTTGCAGATAATACAACAGTGATTGGTCTCATTGGGTATGTTGAACAACTAGTCACCGAGTGATGTGACAGGAACAATCTGGAACTGAACACACTCAAAACTGTAGAAATACTACCACCTCTTATAATACCAGACAACATAGTATCAACAGTAGAGACCTTCACATTTCTAGATTCTATCATGCTTCAAGACCTAAAATGGATTCCAAACATCAAAAACGTCATAAAAAACACAATAAAGAATGTTCTTTCTACGCCAACTCAAGAACCTCAAATTGCCCAAGGAGCTGCTGATACAGTTCTACAGAAGAATTATTGGGTCTGTCATCTGCACCTCTATAACTTTTTGAGTGTAGGAGTTGAAATATTTATGTTCAGGATGCGAGGGGTCTGTAAGTATTTTCATGGCCCTCTTTTTGAATCGTGCAATGTGCAGGTCATCAATGAAAGGCAGGTTGGTAGTAATTGTTTTTTACTGCAGTTCTAATTATCCTCTGAAGTCTGTGTCTGCCTTGTCTGGTTTGGTTCTGCAACCCAACAAGACAGACACAGACTTAAGAGGATAATTAGATCTGCATAAAAAACAATTACCACTAACCTGGCTTCCATTGAGGACCTGGACACTGCACAAGTCAAAAGTGGGCCATGAAAATATATACAGATCCCTCGCATCCTGGACATAAATTGTTTCAACACCTACTCTCAAAACAATGCTATAGAAAACTGCACACCAAGACATCTAGACACAAAAAGTTTTTTTTTCCTGAACGCCATCACTCTGCTAAAAAATAACTCCCTCACCACTGTCAAACTATTCACTAAGGCTGCACTACTATTACTATTAGTTTTTTCATCATTTCTATCACCCATCTCCTCTCACGACTGCATGACTGCAGCTTTGTTGCTTGTATCCTTAGGATTTATATTGTTTCCTGGTTGTTTATTTGTACCCTATGACTATCATTATGTGTTTTGCCTTACGATTCCTAACGGCTATATCTTGCCTTTTTATATACACTGAGAGCATATGCGCCAAAGACAAATTTCTTGTGTGTCCAATCACACTTGGCCAATAAAGAATTCTATTCTCTTCTATTCTAAATAAAGTAATTCATGAAATTCTCCATAGTGTCTTTTTCAATTAAAGGAAATATAATTCAGGAAGAGTGACTTTAGAATATAAGGAAAAATTATTCAATTCTAAGGTATTTTTAGGGTCACTATTTCATGCAGAGGAAAAAAACAGCTTACCTGTCTGGTCTACCCATCATATATTTACCACGAGAATTCATAGTCTGTTTCTGACTAACATTGTTGGAGCTGGCCTAAAGAATTCCTAAGGTGTATGCTTGGAAAAGAGAATTAAATTTGTTCCATATAAATTTACTTGTTACATCTAACAGATCAATCCTAATAGAAATTGTTTCTACAAGATGGTTCTAGAAAACTCAACTTACTTATCTTTATATCACCGATTGTGATTGTAGATCTCTAAAGAAATACCTTCTAAAATTTAAATCAGCATGGGAAGAAAATGTTTATGCATACTCATTTTTTGAAGGAAAATTCTGCTCTCTAAAAGTTAATAGAGTTCCTATCTATTGTTTGACCTAACCTTCAGAATTGAATGGATACCTTTAGCAACAATTATGCCTGGAATAGTAATATGTGCCAACAAATGGCAATGAAGGGATTGTCCAAAAGCAAATAAAAAAGTGGAGGGGAGAATAAATATTTCCACACTTCATCATATAGGATGAATTAGTTCCATCTTAGATGCATAATAGAGATATTTAAACAATTATTCAGATATGGCATCTATACCTACCTTCTCCACTCTAAGAAGGAAGCAATCAATATAGTCACGCAGATTTTGGGGATCCAATGTCTTTTTGTGCAAATCCACATTCTCACGGATATAATCACAGAACTTTTCAATGTTAGCAAAAATGCTTTGGTGTGGCCCAGGAAAGAATGTCACTGTTTTGGGAAATGTATTGTATACCTGTAACAGAGTTCACATGAAATACTATAGCTTATTAGAGTATTATGGTGGAGGATTAATGCCCCAAATATTCAGAGAGTAGCTTTTACTTTGATATTGCTAATTGTCAATTCTTAGATGGCCCCAAAACCAAGAAAAGAAGAACCACAAGGATTTCAGTATGCTACCTTTAATTCTATTCTCAGATAAATACAATGTCTTGGAAACTATAATGGGAATTAATATTTATAATAGATTAATTAAAGAGTAGAGTCTTTGAAAGGCTTTCCCCCAGATCTCTCCTCACCTGGGCTGAGTTCCTGGTAGGAGATACTTTGTCAAGGGATTCTCCCACTGCTCCCCTAGCCTCACCCATCTCTTCCACAAATGCTGAAAATGACCAAAGTCCTCCAAGAGGCAAAGACACAAACTGGCTGTGTGCATAAAGATAGGGGAGCTGTCTAACAATTCCATGTTACATCTGTCCAGAATCTGACATGGCCCAAAGGAGTTATGGGAGAAGGAAATGGTTCACTCGTAAATAAGCCCAACCAGAAGAGATTTTGCTGAGAATCAATTTATGCTTGGATGTCTAGATTTGCCTTCCCCTGCTTATTAGCTCATCAGATCTAATGTTTACATTTCTGACTTGGATATTTATACTCACAAACACACCTGCTAGTTAAAATTGGAGACAAGACAAGAAGAGGATCAAGTAGATTAACATACCAGTCCTAAGAAACCAAGAGAGTGTCTTATTTGAGTCTCCACAATATTCTGGTTCTCTATGAAGGTTTTATCTTTGTAATCAAATCGATTGCCAAAAACAACTGCACATATCACATTAGAAACAGCACTTGCAATAATTCTCCTTGGGTCGAATGGCTGCCCTGCAAGAAAAGAAAGACCACAGATGTTTATGAGTGGGATCAATGAATGTGGAACTTCCCTTTCTCAAATCTCATCTCAAAACTGCAATAAAAAGTGTTTGAGGCCAGAGAAATTGGAATTTTAATTCTTTTCCTGTTTCCTAAGAATGGAATATAAACACAATATTAAAATCCTATAACCACTTTAATCAAGATGCAACATAGTATTTCCATTTTCCACTTTGAAATTTTGGATCCTTACGGATCTCTGTCCTTCATGGAGCCTATTCTTATGTCTGTGTTCCTTACCTTCCTTAGTTTCCCTGTCTCCTTTATCCATAAAGTTTTTTTGCTGGTTTCTGAATTTGCTTGATGTCTGGTACTGCATCCAGGCTAACATTTTACTAGTTTTTGGCAAAGTTGCAATTTTATAAAGCCGTAATTGCTCCATTAAATGACTTCCTACGATTCCTGATCTCACAGTGTTGCAGCCACAATAAGATTTCAGTATTTCTCAGCAAGCTTGTAATTTTATCAAGCCAAAAGCTAACACTGGATAAAAAAGGGGGAGAAACAGCTTTATTACTTTTTCCTTTGCTTCTGAACAATACTGTGAAAATAAAAGGGACTGCCTATCTAAGTTTTTCTTTATTTTGTGCAATTACGTGTAGAGGATTTGAGATGTAGTGTAGAATTGAGTTTTCTTGCAACTTCATATAATACAACAAATCCTTTCCAGATTCTTTTTTTTAACCTTTTGTGGTAGCCATTTCATCCACCAGACAAAGGGCTTCCTCCTGCACCCTCTCAGACATTGTTTTCCTCCCCATCCCAAAATCTCGTAAGGTAGACAGTGTGAACCGCCGCAGCTCCCTCCATTTCTTCTCCTCAGTGGTGGTCAGACCTGAAACCAAAGACAGAGGAAACAGATCACAATGTGATATCAGTTCTCAAATTTTGCAAAAGGGGAAAAAGTTATACATTACAATTTCCCCACCCCACTTTTACAGTAAAGAATCCTTCGTGCTTGAATTACTAATTAGATCAACTGCAGTTTTCATCTAGTCATTCTTGAGTGCTCTCATATTAGAAGATGAATGAGGTTGTGCAAATCATGTCACACCTTACTATAAATGTGAAATGGNGACCAGGAACTTGCAAATATACAGTAACAATAAACCTTGGTTCACAGCTAAACTTAAGCAGCTACGTCATCATTCCAAAGAGGAAGCCTACAGAAAAGGTGATAGCATGCTGTAAATCAGGCCAGAAACATATTAACAAGGGAGATCAGAGAAGCAAAAAGAAGCTACTTTGAAAAGCTAAGAAATCAGTTCTCAACAAATGAACCAGCAAACATGTGGAAAACTTAAAAATATCACCCGTTGCAGCAAACCTCCTTCCATGGCTGAAGAAAATCAAAATCTGGCAGATGATCTGAACGTATTTTACTGCAGATTTGAAAGGAAACTACAGTCACCTATCTCCACAACCCCCATCTCAGACACACCAACCACACCCAAACCTCCTACAACTGACCCCATCCCATTCGGTTCACAACCCCTGGTGATCACAGAAAAGGAAGTGCAAGATCTATTTCACAGACAGAAGCCAGGAAAAGCACCAGGTCCATACAAGATAACTCTTTCTTGCTTAAAAGTCTGTGCTGAACAATTGACCCCCATCTTCACCGAAATCTTCAACAAATCACTAGAGATCTGCTTTGTTCCTTCTTGCTTCAAATGCTATCATCCCAGTGCCGAAGAAGCCTTCTATCAAGGAACTTAATGACTACAGACCAGTTGCTCTAACATACTGTATATAGTTATGAAAAACTTTGAAAGGCTAGTGATGTCCCACTTGAAAACCATCATGGATCTGCTGTTAGACCCCCCTCCAATTTGCATACCAAGCAAACAGATTGACAGATGATGCTCTTAATATGGCTCTGCACTTCATTCTACAACATGTTGAATCTCCAAAGACCTACACAAGGTTCCTCTTTGTAGACTTTAGTTCAGCATTCAATACCATCACACCAGCATTCTTCTAACTAAACTAAATCAGCTAGCAGTACCTGAACACACTTGTAAGTGGATCACAAGCTTCCTAACAGATAGGAAGCAGCAGGTGAAGC